TTGAATCATGTTTCAGTAACAGTCACCCGCTAATTCAAACATTATTTTACAAAGACTTCATATTTTTCACATAGGTAAAGAAGGAAAATTTAAACACTTTGAGTTGGGGATAAAGCGCGTTTTTATGGATGGCGATCGTTGCCAAAATTCCATACATGTAATGTGTTCCTTTTGAAAACTACTTTTGAAAATGCGAACATGTATGTCTAGCATTTTTGATTGCATTCGTGCACAGCAAATGATATGCCTCTTAATCCAATCTTTTAATTGAAGGCACCCGCTTTTAAATAACAAGTTTACATGTAAATCTTAACAACTGACCTAACACACATTTACAAGTTCGTATCTACCATTGCATATAATACATAAGCATGTTTACACACTTGTAGATATATATATGTACCTGAAAAACACAAATGAAATGTAAAACTCGAATGCAGAAAATATAATTTAATAAAACGTGTTTCCAGTCGTAGAACTACAACAGTACATTTACACAGTTACATGTTTAAAATGACAAAAGTAGATTCACAAAGTTAAACGATTTTAAGTCATGCATGACGCACCGCCCCTCTCTGAGTACTTACGATCTTCTATCACGGAAATGTACGGTCAGGTATAATATCCGTCGCCTCTCTCCTATTTCTCAATAAAGTGAAGGAAAACACGGCGTCCATTCTAACTTTTTTTTTATTTCTATAAAAAGTCCAATATAATTTGTATCAAATGAAAGATTACTCCATAAGCTTTCTATGAGTGCCTCGGAAAGAAAAATGAATTAAATAGATGTATTGATTTTGTTGTTGTTTTTTTTAGTCTGAAAATAACACTCTCGAATTGGTAAGAAAAACACGGCGTTCCCTCCAAACTTTTTTTTTTATTTCGTAATATATTTTGATAATTTTGGATTGAAATAAAAGTGTGATTAATACGATTTATGATATATAATTATATAATGCCTCAAAATAAAAAGGAATTAAATAAAAATGAATTAACTTTTCGTTAAAAAGTTTATCATGTTACTTTCTGTAAAATGGAGGAAATAAGAATCCCTAAAGAACGCTCAAAACGACAAAATTGAGAATGTTGCAGGCCGGTTTGATTGAGCCTGCTCATGGACGGTAATGGAAAGAGCAAGTTATCGTCCACGCCCCCTAGCACCGGCTTAAGCAAAATTCAACATGAACTGGTACAATTTTGAATTTTGAAACATCCGCAGATGTGTTAATATGGTGATTATCATGGAACCTTCAATGTGACACGTAAGTGCCATACCATGAAAAACGGCATATGATCCCCAAGTAAAAAAAATAAAACACACTCTGAAATTCAGTAAGAGAAACATGGCGCCCCCTACTTACTTTTTTTATTACTTGGTCAATTTTGATAATTTTAGAATATGATAAACAAGATCATCAAGGAAAAGCGGCGTTGATAATTTTAGACTCAAGTAAAAAATTCTGGAAACAAAGTGATCCCTCGGAAGCATTAATCACAACAAAATTACATAAGAATTGCAGACTCGGTTTGATTGAGTCTGTACATAAGAGATAATGAATAAGTGCAACATCCCTCACGCCCCCTAGCACCGGATTGAGCGGTACTCAATTCTCAACACTTAATAGTGCTTAAGAATCCTTAATGAACTTTCTAGTGATGCCTTAAAAATGAAAATTAATTACGTAGAAGTATTAAAAATTTTGTTTCTAACTTATCGTTGTTTTTTTTCTCTTAAATCCACACTCATATATTCGGAAAAAAATAACGTCGCTTCCTTTAGATACTTTATTCAAAAAGGAAAATAAATATTGAATGAAGTTAAGACCATAAGTTTTGAACAAGTATATTAAAAATCTGGAAACAAGGTGATCCCTCGGAAGCATTAATCACAACAAAATTACATAAGAATTGCAGATTCGGTTTGATTGAGTCTGCACATGAGGGATAATGAACAAGTGCAACATGCCTCACGCCCCCTAGCACCGGATTGAACGGTACTCAATTCTCAACACTTAATAGCGCTGGCATCAATGATCCCGAAAGACCAGAAAAATATAACAACACTGAAGTGAAGTACGGGGCAACTTTTTACAGCTGCCTCACGGCACTTGAAACCTGCTGTTGTGAAGTATAAAAAATCTGGAAACAAAGTGATCCCTCGGAAGCATTAATCACTACAAAATTACATAAGAATTGCAGACTCAGTTTGATTGAGTCTGTACATGAGGGATAATGAACAAGTGCAAAAAGTTTTTATTCATACTGAAAATACCTTATTAAAGATGGTACATATGTGGTACGGATAAGTATTTTCTTGATTTCGGAAAGGAAATCTCGGTGGCCGCTTTAAAATATACTTGCATAGTTTTTGTTGAAAATGAAATTTGTGCCAATACATTTTTCAATGATACCAATAAGAATATTGGGTGGTTTTTTACATTATTAATAAAATTACTCCCTTGAAGTTGGTCATTGTTTCCCCTAAAAATTTCCAAATCGCCGTTGTTTCTCAGGAATATATGATAAACAAGATCAACAAGGAAAGGCGGCGCTCAATGAACGCAACCCCACATGACCCAGCAACAAGAACAAGTGGCAAGAAGCCAAGGCGGACCCAAAACAAAACACAGGACAGGGCACTAGGCAGAGCACGGACAGGCTAATCACTAAAATGATAAATAATTTGTAACTGATAAGAACACGATGTTAAAAATCAGGTAATGCATAAGTTATCTTCATCATAAATGGTAAAATCAGCAATTTTCAAGTGATGTTGCTACTGACAAAACTTTTGTAACAAATGTAACATATATATTTTATGAAAAATGCCGTATGTTGTCCTTCAGTTTTATTTAAAATATGGGAGAGGCGCCGTTTTATACCTGTCCGCAATAGAAGTTCGTAAATACTCCGAGAGGGGCGGGGCGTTATGCTTGACTTAAAATCGTTTAACTTTGTGAATCTTCTTTTGTCATTTTAAACATGTTACTGTGTTAACGTACTCTTGTAGTTCTACAACTGGTAACACGTTTTCTTAAACTCAATTTTCCGTATTCAAGTTTTACGTTTCATTTGTATAATTCAGATCTATAAGTGTGCAAACATGCATATGTATTGCATGCAATGGAAGATACGAACTTGTAAATTTGTTGTCGGTTTAGATGTTAGGTCAGTTGTTACGATATATATGTAAACTTGTTATATAAAGGCGGTAACCTTCAAATAAAAGATTGAATTAAGAGGTTTACAATAAAAATGGTAGGCATACAAGTTCGCATTTTCAAAAGTCATTTTAAAAAGGAACACTTTACATGTCTGGAATTTTGGCAACGAACGCCCTCCATACGTTTTAGCTATTTCATGTCATTTTCAACAGCAGATAACTCGACACTGCGGCAATCAACACCACATTTGTTTTCACAATGATGATTGTTTTTTTTATTCCCTATAATGTTGAAAAATATACCGTAATTCTATGTGACAGAATGTTATGCTAAGAATGCTTATGCAAAAATTTTCTTTCAGTTATGTACCTCGTTTTTTTTTTTGTTTTTTTTTTTGGGGGGGGGGGGGGGGTTTAAGGGGGTGAGGAACATATACGTTTTGAAGCATAGTAAAATATTTGTTTGATATAATTGTTTTTATACTTTGCATATAAAAATAAAAATTACAATAAATAATCTGAAATTAAATAAGGTATCGAAATACTTGATATCGAGTTATCTGCTCTTGAAAATGAGCTAAAAGAACAAAAACTCACTTACAGTAATTAAAGCCGTGATATAGCTAAGACCTTTCGAAGCCATATATTTTTAGGAGTGACCAATAAGATGTTTTGGTGATTGTAAGTTTGAAAGTATGATGACCATTAACCTGCTAGAATCGAAAGTGTTTTGCCCTGGCCACCAATACGTATATAGCTAGGCAAATCTGCACATTCGTGCAGCCGCTAATCAGGTTATATACAGCTGGCTGACCGATTTCAAAGTTTGATCTTGATATCCCCAATATTGATAATGAACAGTTCCAAAATAACAAGGTGGACAAGTCCATTAAAAAACCAACTGATTAAGGGATAAAATCAAACAAACTCTTATATAAATGTTTACTTCCTTTAACTAGTATACTGCGTTTTAGGATTTCGAAGTGACAATACCTTCTTTTATATTCTGAATACACTATACGGCTTACTTTTTTTGTTTAGCCCGAAAGAGATTAGCGAAAATAAAAACGTCTATCAATTGGAGATTTACAAGTTTGGACAATAAAAAAGGTATGTATGCCTTTGTTTTAAAAAAAATTACATTTTATTTCATCGTTTTAACCATGTCGTTTGAAACCGCTAACGCTTTTTTATATCTCCATAATATTTATTTAAACGGAAAAGCGTAAATAAAAAATTAAATAATAAAAATAAATAAATAAATAAACAGCATCAAAAGACTACAGTTTTCGCTCCACGCTAAAATAAACACATACTTAATATTTCGTACAAGTTAAATGTATTTTAATGAGTTACATACTTTCTATTTTTAAAAGATTAAAAAGAGTTTTCAAGAAAAATCCTATTTTTTGTCCTTAAAATTTTATGAAGACAAACAGTATAGTTGGAAATAAATAGAACTTTGAAAAGTCTTTGGGAGGACAGACTTGGTGCGATAGAACTGTTGCAAAAAGCCGATTTACCATTTTCATGAGCTTAATAAATTTTTAACTAAAAATACTCGCATTCGCAATTAAGTCTCAAAATATTGGCTCAAGATATAAGTCTTAAAATGTTAGCTCTAGATATACATGTATGAAATGTTATATCAAGTAATTTGAAGTTAACATAAACCGAGATTTAAAAGAACAGAAACACATGCATGTACACGGTATAGTTAGTTGCAGCCAATCGGACCAAAATCAGCAGCCTATTTTCAAACTTGCCTTAGTACTGATGTGATAAGTGTCAAGGTTTTGTCATAAAATAGAACAAGAACAATATTTCTTTTCAGCACAAACAGAGGGATTATGACATTTATTGTAGTTGTAGTTGTTTGGATGTTTATCAGTAATTTGCAGTCAGGTAAACAACTATTGCATTATTGCACTGACTTCCTTTTTGCTTCACGCCATTATCTTTTTCATCTTTTCTTTGTAACTATACTTCTTTTGTGCTGGTTGATTTTAAGATTAACCAACTATGTTTAGGTCACACGGCGACCTCGTATGACTGACAGAATATACCCAGCATGATGCTCAGCCATATAAACGGGGAAATGTTCCACAGCGGACATAAGAAAATCCACAAAAATTAAATTAATCTTGATAATTTTGACTGATCAATAAAACTGATAAAATCATATGTATTACGCCTACCAAAACATGTTGGTCGTTATGAATTGATGCATGAGGTACTAATTTGGTCGTAATAAATAACTGATTTAAAGTTGCTACATTAATACTTACTATTTCACAGTTGTAAGCAAGATAAATGAACCAGATTTTGACAGTGGCTGGGTGCTTATTTCATCACGAAACAACTGGGCAGATAGGCTGACACATGTTAAGAGCTTCAATCACGGTTTTGAAGAGCTCCCCATACTTGTCGACGTTCAAGTTAAAGCGATAGATGGTCCGAACAAAGACTTTGTGTTCCCAGCATCAGGTAAAGACAAATTGTTAATATTGTACAGATTCAATCAAAGTAAAGGACTTTCGCATCTGAAAAAAATCAATTTCGATCAACATATACATACATAACATTGTATATTAAGAATTAGGTGATTTTTTATACAATTATTACTTTATCCGTTATTGAAAAGTTCTAAAAACGCAAATAGTTCATAAAGATTAAAAATATATCCTTATTATAATGTTTATAGCAACAGTCATTTGTAAAAACAGTCCTACAGCGGAAAACATCCAGAAGCTTTAACTTAAAAATCACAGTAAATTATAAAATAAATCTTCAGTTCCTTCGGTATTAGTCTGTAGCCAAGATTATTTTGTGCACGACAATAAACTGCTGTTGACCCGGCTGTGAGCGGACAGCTGTAATTTAATAAAACTTTACAGATTCAATATATATGATGGAATTTCCACGTCTAAAAAAAAGTCATTGTTGATCAACGGTAAAATGTGAATGGACAACAGTAACTGTAATTTAAATTCCGCTGCTACATCCAATTCCTGTATACCGAAAGATGTAGCGGGATGCATTACCTCGTGGATAAATAAAACAATGTGTCGTCATTATCTTTTCAAGGGCACAGTCTGCGAGATGACGATCGTAATTATCCGTTTGGACAAGTTATCTATGTTTACGATAACACAACCATTTTAGTGTCTCCTCCAATAAGGAACAATGGTAAACTTGGCTACTGCATATACACAGGTAAACTGTTCCGTTCTTTATCTAAAATTCTGACTTAGGCTCATTTATTCAAAATGATAATTTGATAGTTTTGTGTAACTCAAAGTCACATGTCATACACATTTTCAATTCTCTTACGTACATGAACTTAAAACAAAATAATATGATGATAGCAACATATTTCAATGTTGTAAACGATCAATACAGATTAATACAAATAAATATTTTTGGGTACAATAAATACATCGGTCGTCTATGTCATTATTTACATGCCAAACTGCACAATTACCATTGCAGCCATGCCATTCATATCGATTAAAAGATCACAGACCCAGAAAAACCAATCAACGATTACAAGCCCAGATTCTTATAGTGAATTTTCAATAACATGTCACATACGCTTTTATGGTACAGAAAAATCTTCGCATATATTTGCTCCCTATACAAACTGCACATACCATTTGACAACCCTACTTTTCACCTACTCTTTGTAACGCAATTTTCTTGCAGGAACCTCTCCATATTGGGAGGGTCCAGCCGAACAAGCAAGTTTATCAGCACTTGTACGAGCAAGGGCATGGAGGTCATCTTCTCTACCCCGACCAGACTTCATCCATAAAGGAACTAAATTGACGGCATCAACTGGAAAGCGTAAATAAACTTGTCTGCTTTATAGCTTAAATACCCTGGACCAACGAATAATATGCCTCTTTACACAGACCTTAAAAGGATGAAAAATAAAGCATTCAATCAAAGTACTCAATGTTAGGGATAGATATTGTGAAAATGTATATCTCGTAATATTAGTTTGCAAAAACATACCCGTTTAATTCAACAGTCAGGCAGTAAATATGCATAAAATAAGCTATGCAATTTAAGATTTCATGAAAAATTCCTTTTCTGACGGCAATTTATGGGGATAGTACTGAAGTAATTCTAGTAAAAATTTTCTGTATAATTGCCAGGTGAAGATTCCTATCTGTCTGTTCAGCATGGTCTTTCTGAATATCCTGCATTGGTCGTTTCTAGAATAAAGTTTCCAGGCGGAAATTTATATCCGAATTTCTATGCCGACTCTGTAGGTAAGTATGCATCAATTATCAGATATTTTCATCTGGCACAAAGCACCATGTTTTTCTTCAAAACTACTCTGTTAATTTATCTTTTTATAGCTAACTGCTAATAACTTAAGGTAGTGCAAATACCCATTTGTAAATTGATTTTCGTTGCATTTGCTAATCAGTTTATGCAAATGTACTGCTTTGATTGATAGAGCGATTGTTGCAGCGTTAGCTGTGCTATATCTTTAAACGTGTTTTTACTGTTTTGCGTCAAAATCTGGCAGTTTCACGCACGCACGCACGCACGCACACACACACACACACGTGCGCGCGTACGCGCACTTTGCTGCTTGAGATATATAGATATAAATTCATCTACTGAAATAAAAAGGAAGTATTCTATCTGATCCAATCCTTCAAAGTACTAGTATTGTCTTTTCTACAAGGTAGACTGTGGAAACTCTAGAATAATAAACCAATGATGTATTTGGTCTGGTTAAATTTTATGTGAATAGTTCGGTTGTGCAAAATACAGCAGTCGTTTCCTTTTTCAGAACGTCCTGTAAAATAAACGCCTCATGCAATTAAGCATTGGTCAAACTTATTGCTGGTCTTTCGTTGTTGTTGCAGTTTTCTTTAGATTGTTATTTCATTTTCTTGTTAAGTATGACGTTCAGAAATTTGCCTTTAGGTACAGCAACATAAATATCTTAGTCAAGAGGAATATGACAAATATTTTTGATACTGTTAGTGCATTGAATGATCTCATGTCAGTCTCTGTGGTCATGTCATAATATCGCTCTGAATCGTCGATTTTCATTCAACATATCACTTTCACAACTGAAAACAACTGACAACAATTGCAAAAGATAATGCATCGTAATACGTTGATTACCTTTAAGAAATATATGAACTGCCACTGATAAGATGCCGACCATATGTGTTCGCCAAGTGGTGAATCATGCATCAGTGGTTATTAATTATTTCACTTTAGCAGCTATCTTTGCCATACAGTGCAGTGTACATCTGTTGGAACAAATAACATTTGAATGTCTAAAACCAATAGATAAAACTACATATCAAAACTAAATATATATTTCAGGGTGTTGTATATATTTAACTTTGTAAGATTAACCAAAATTTTTAATGTTTCACAACATTTTAGGAGCAGGGTCGATGATCTACACAAGGTATGTCGACAATGAGAGAAATGGCTATGTCATTTATGGTTTTGATAAGTCAGCCATACGCGTGTGGGCTCCATCACGTTCTTGGGGTTGTAAGTCATCTTTACAAACATTTTTGTTGAATATACACGTATTCAAAAGAATTGAATATTGCTTTTTGATTATTTTGTTGGGTTTTAAATAACAGCAACACTTATAAGGCCATGTGCCCATTTTCCAGCAGAACTGATAGACGAAGACCTCAGGTGCTTTGCCATGCATTATTTCAAACACATTAGTGTCACCTGGTTAACAAAATCCCGTAAGCTAGTTAGCTAGCTGGATAGTTTCCCCACATTCAAAGTCCCATGGGGATTAGATACCACAGTGGTGATGAGCAAGTGGTTCGCAGTGTACATTTCAACCACTCGACCACAAACTCTACAGTCAATGTTTACACAGAAACGCCATTTGAGATGCAAAGCTTTTGGTTATTACTAAAAGGAATTGTTCTAGATAAGTGTAGTTTACAGTTTACAGCTGTAAATTATCTTATTGTATACATAACATTCAAATGAAGAAGAATTGACTTATCTCTGTTTTCATATTGCTCTTTTGTAAACGGTATGAAAACATTTTATAACTTCGTCATGATTAAAAGTTATCAAAGTCGGTCGGGAAGAAAATTACACTTTTGCCTGTATGTGGACTATTGATTACTAATTGTCAATTTCCTTCAACACTATGTTTATTTCTGTCTTTTCAAAAATAATACAATATGATTCTCATGAAACTGTGTCTGCATTTCAAGTTTTGTTCAGCGGCGGTGAAGGAGGGGCAGGCATTGACTATCAAGTAACGTCTGCTTATCTGGAGTTGTATGCATGGCGTGCGAGAACGTTAACACCGACAGAAACTTTGCAGAAAACTCTTAGTCCTGAGCGTATTTCTTCATCTGATTTGACCATTGCTTTTCGGCAGACCTATCAAACCGACAATATACTCATCAAAAGTTGGGTAAGACAATCTGAATGTGATCACTGTTATTTTACCAAATGACTTAATATGCGCATAAAGCAATGTTAAAAACTAATAATATAGACATGATAGCCGTAGTTGCTGGAGTTCGTTTAAACTATAAGCAAACGCTTTTAATCAAATGCTTTATAGTTTTGATTATTTTAATGCAGTATTTATGATAAGAAAAGTATAGAAACACGAATCAGATTTAAGTTATTAGGCCCGATATTGAGACAAATATATATAAATGAATAATATACAATAAAAATATTATAAAAACAAAACACACATTGAAGAGGATATACACTGCATGGTAGCGCTTTTTTAGTTGATATCTTTAGTTTACGTTCATAATGCTATTTTGAAGGTTGATGCTGTTGAAGGTGTGAACGCTGGATATCGTTTCATTGGTGGAGGAGCACTGGCATACGATGCATACACTGTGTCTGAACCATGTAGCTATGGAGGTCTTGTTTACGGCTACTCTAACAATACTGTGAGACTTTGGAAACCAGGCAAAGCCGCCAACGGGGCTTTGATTTGTTTACAAACAAAACTTGCAGAGGGCACTAATGCACAAGCATCTTCTCGCGGAAAAGCAACTGTCAATATTTGGCAATTAGGTAAGGTTATTTCTTGTCACTTAACCCTTACCATGCTTTAAGTGTTAAATGGTCTTTTCCATCTCCCAATCTGGACATATGTGCTCATCAATTTAAGGGAAACTTTAAAATGAGTACTGAGTGAATAGCTAGCAGAGCAGACCATTATGAGATGTAACTGATCTTTGTCTCACGTGTAGATCCAGCCGTCGCCAGCCGGGCTAATGGCTTATTGTAAATGCAAAATTTAACTCGTTTAGTATCTTATTCATTTGTCGGTAGATTTATTTACATACTTTGTTGTAAATATATATTAAAAGTCTCTACAGCATAATGGTAATATTTTCCATATATGAATTTATATGAAAAGATTTGGCGTTGTAACTATATAAGAAAAATGTAGATCTACATTATTTTAGGTGCCACTATGCGTGAACCTGAACCAGTGCCAGACCCCCCAGAGATGGCAAAATGTGACAGTAAGCATCGATCTGCTATTTATTCTACTTTTATTAAGTTATTAAACTAATATTAACCCTTTACCTCATATATACGCGAAACAACGCACTTTCGACCCCCCTCTTTTAGGCCTCAAATAATGAAAAAATGTCCTTTTTGGGCCCCAAACGCATGTTTTCGTTTGAGAAATGTTGATAAAAAAGTGACCACTTTTTCGGCGCGGGCCCCCAACCAAAAGATACATCAGGGGATTGCCAGAAGGGGGATGTGCCCCCTACTGTTTGGGGGTTTTGAAGGGGAGCTCTAGTCCCCCTCATTGCCAAGAAAATTGTGGACTTGTGAGAGGCTAAAAATGACCCCAGATCGATCATAAGGTAACGTGTAACCAACGCTGAAAAGCATTTGACTCTTTCTCAATCCATTGAGAAGTTGCAGCACTTTGAAATCAATTTTGATGGAAAAAATCAACGCAAAATAGTGATTTTTGGCAATTTTGAGATGTCCCCTCGTTGCCATGGTAACAGGAAATTTAAGCCTGAGCATGTTGTTACAAAGGCAATGGTCCAGTCAACATTTGTGCCAAGTTTGATTAGTATTGAAGCAGTTTTTATAGTTTTATAGCAATTTGAACTTGTAACGGGAGACTTTTCAATGAAAACAGCCATTTTTCACAAAATGCTCATGAAGTAATGGGTAAACTAACATGAAAGATCTATTCATTATTTAACTATTAAAAGACATGAAAACAACAACAACAACAACAAAAAACAACACACAAAAGAACAACATCAACAACACTTTTATGCAGTTTTAAAGAATTTTGCTTTCGAATCAAATTTAAAAAAACTGACATACAATATGGTCTATTGGTCTGTTTATATTTAGTGTACTAATAGTAAGATTGAAGTACAAAGTAGAAATGATACAAAGTACACTGCATTTCAAACTGACTATCTCAACTTGTTTAACTAATCAAATGCACATTGTATACACTTTTTTATCTTCTAGTCTGAGTTATTTGTGTTTCGTATTTCAGAGAAAACAGACCTGGATGTCAACCAGCTTGTGTGTGAACAGACTTCTGTAATGAGGGATTTTACCCAATCTTTACAAGCCTTAACGCAGTCTGTAAATGTTTTGAAAGACGTTATTGTCAAGTTAAATGAAAAAAAAGTAACTTCTTTGATTGTAACGGTTAAAGGGGCGGCCAGAGTTGAATGAGCCACCATTTTTTGTCGTCAGATTTAGTTATTTTAGAAAATGTCTTCACTATGAACATTCTTCGTCATTTTTTCTCATTCTGGTGTTTCTTTGTTTCTTACTAACTTCTAGTTGGAATTATATAGTGAGTGAGCGATAGCATTTTTTTTCTGCAAAGTGAGGCTATGTTTCCCTCTTGTAGATCGTGTGCCACCTGTATTTGCGTAATAGAGACAACCTTTATTTTAATATATGTTAAGTTTGTAACAGAAATACACATTTGAGATACAAAAGTGAAAACTCGTATTTTAAATTGGCTAATAAACCTCCAATGCTTTAGTTAACGTGCTAGAAATGATAATAATAACAGATATGGTTATTTTTATCCTGATATAATTATGGTATACATAGCTGGAAATGTTAGAAATTATTGATGACACATGTTCAGCAGAATATTGCAGGTCCGCTGGTTGAGCAAAATTGCATGGTTTAGGCAGTATTCTAGCAGTTTGCGTGTACTTAAAGGTCCGTTATGCCTCAGAAATGCTTTTATTTTTATTTCTAAAAAGTTTTTTTCATTTAAGTGTACTTTTAACGTATCCAAAAAGCTACGCATTGGCAAATTACCTGAACTATCTTTATCTGTTGCTTTTTGGCAATATGTGCAGTTAGAATTAATGAGTATTTTTTACGAAGTCAAAGTACTACTTTGATTACATTTTGCTGCTTTTATGACAAATTATTTTGCATTAATTGCTATTTTCTTCAGGCACTAAGCGGGTAAAATTCTCTAAAACCGTTATTTAAGCATTATTAAAATCACGTTTGCCCTTTCTAAAGAAAAAAAATTGTTTCTGAGGCATAATGTCTTAATTGATATATATCAGAAGTTATATGAATAGTGTTAAATTGGCATGGCTTTATACAAATTGTATTACATGTAGGGTTAGTAAATGTAACAAACTTGCTAAAAACGTGATGTTAACAAGCTCTAAACCTTTGGCAAATGGTATTGTGATAAAATTTGTTTTCTGAGGTGTTATCATTAATGCATTTACATATATTTTATATATTAACAAAATGAATATACGATATTCCGCTATTTTGTAACCTTTTATTAAGAGAATGTAATGTATTAACTTAGTTACTTTATGATAAAGATATTTTCAGTTATACTGGATATATGTGCAGTATAGAATAATTATAATTAGGCTTAAATTTTCAGGAAAGTTATTTTGCTTCAATCCATCTTTCCATCTCATAGTCGATTATAAAAAAAGTTGTAATATAGAATGTTTCTGTTTTTTAACATACATGAATATTGAATATGAACAGAACAAAATAGTTTTGGAACAAAGTATTAGACTTCTATTTGATGTATGGTTTTAAAATTTTAGCAATGATTTCGAGCATTTCCATAGAGACTATACAAACATATTTCGTTCATACAGGTGTTTTTGTAGTATTCTTTTTCAAATTTCAAATAGCAATTTTTGCATCAGATATACAGCTTTATACACATAAAAATGAAAACATATTTGCCTCTTTTTATATCGCTACATTGTATTTTTGTAGTTCAATTAAAAGCTTTATATATTATTTAGAACCACATAAATATTTCTACACATATATTGCCTACGTATTACACTGTTGTTATTTACATGAGAATGTTTGTGTAAAAAATTAATTGTGTAACTTATATGTTCCGTGTGCAATGAAAAATAAAATAAAAAAAAAATGATTCATAACCTTGAACCAAATGTTGTTTTTGTTTTTCTGAAATCTGTATAACTTTTCAAAAATTCTGCCTAAGGGTAAGTTTGTTTTGATGCAAAAAAGCAGTGTTGATTCAGTCTTTATAATATATATTATATCAAAGTAGATTTGCTTGATATATTTGCAATATTAAAAACCTTTAAAATATGTATCAAAATATTTCCGCCTGAGATCAGAAATTTCATTGCCTTTGCATATTATCAAAATATTTTCGCCTGAAATCAGAAATGTTATTGCCTTAACAATATTATACTGTGTTTTCGCCTTTTAGCAGCAATTCTATTGCCTTTACAATATATATCAAACTTAAATATTTTCGCCTGAAAACAGAAATTTCATTGCCTTTGCAATTTTAAAAGTTTTTTTCGCCTTAAAGTTACATTAAATAAATTTCATACAAAACTAAAAAGCGACATTTCATTAATAAATTGGGTTTTATATCGACTCCATGTCTTATTTTGTTGTCCAAACAACCAAAATGAGTTTTATTAGCATAAAAATAGGTAACCTCATTGTGACGAAATGGGAAATACAATTTCTGTTTGCATGAGAAACTCCGCCTTCGGATCATCCGTACATCAATATTAAATCAACAATAATGACTATAAGTAGCAGTCCTAATTTAACAGTATATTTCCGCATTGTAACGGATGTTTTCATACAAATTTAATCTTTTTACGAGATTATAACTTTTACTGAACCCAAGGTTTAGTGCACCGTGAAGCTTAAACGGTTAAAGTGTGTTTGCACAAGAAAATATCACATTTGCTGTGTTCGGATAGCAACTATAAAACTGTGACGTAGCGCATACAAGAGCTCATTATAGTCTTCATTTGCATGTTAAAATTCGTATACGAACTTTAGTGGTACCGTGGGGTTTCCCGTTTAAAATCCTTATTTATGAACAATATTTGATGAGATTTACAACAATACTATTAAACAGGTTAATGAAACTGTAGAATGTTTGATTTTAAGGCCGACGGCAAAATATATTTACATATTTATTTAATGTAACTTTAAATGGGCAATTTTATTGCCTTTATAATATATATCAGTATTTTCGCCTGAAATGAGCAATTTCATTGCCTTTACAATATATATCAAAGTATTTTCGGCTTAAATCAGCAATTCCATTGCCTTTACAATTTTATCAAAGTATTTTTGGTTGGCTTAAATCAGCAATTCCATTGCCTTTACAATTTTATCAAAGTATTTTTGGTTGGCTTAAATCAGCAATTCCATTGCCTTTACAATTTTATCAAAGTATTTTTGGTTGGCTTAAATCAGCAATTCCATTGCCTTTACAATTTTATCAAAGTATTTTTGGTTGGCTGAAATCAGCAATTCCATTGCCTTTACAATTTTATCAAAGTATTTTCTCCTGGAATCAGCAATTTTATTGCTTTTACAATATATATACATGTACAATGTATATTATAGTTTTTTTCCGCCTGAAATCAGCAATTTTAATTCCTTTACAATATTAATCAAATATCTTCGCCTCACATTAACAATATCAGGTTCCGTTGAAGTAGCCACAGCAAAGTAGGGATGTATTATTTATTTCTGGATTGTCACAAAAATCCAACTGTAGTCTCCATTTAAATAGTAATTGTATAATGTTACTAGTACTATTTTTTCAGTTTTCTTGTAGTTCCTATTGAAAACATTAACTTTTACATTATCTAGAATAAACATATGCTTAGGTTTTATTTGGACAACTAAAACAAATTCAAAATGACTATTAAATGTCCGCTCCGCATCGTTGGTATAACCTTGATTTGAACAAAATACTTATTTAACAAAATATGGGACAATGCGTAACTTTTTTACAGCCTAGCTATGAAATATATATCTCGTGATCCAATGTAAAAAAGTCAGTCAATTGAATTGATATTTTACCGACTTTCTTTCAAACATTTACTTAAAGTTGAGCACCGGATATACACATACCAAATTAAATTGGTCGAATGTCTGCGTCGTTATTGACCGATTTAATTTTGTAAACGCTTGCTTATAACACTAACCAATACTTAAAATTTTCATTTTTTAGGTACTTTGGTCGTATGGTATGGTCTAATTGCCTTTGAGAATTATTGTTTAAGCTGGCACGAATTTAACAAAGTTAACCATAACCAACCCTGTTACTTTCACTTATTATAATATTTTTATCTCCTTAGTGGAATCTTTTCACATCGAAATAATGTGTGTAAATAAAATTGATATTTTAACATATAAAAGAAAATAGCAATGATTTTTGTTTTGTTTTGGACCTATATCTCTTTTTTTCATTTAAATGAATTTTTTAAATGAACAAATTATTTTTATTTTCATGGGAACTATTAACACCATGAAAAAAAAATAAATAATGATAAAACAACAACAACAAACCCAACAAAAAAACAAAACAAACCCCAGAAGAAAAACATTTGTTCTTTACAGTGAACTACGTAATAGAACAATAAGTGAATACTTTATGTTAATTGCCAAAAAAAAAATCCAAATGATTAAAGCCAAGAACGGTTAACGTAAATATATGTATTATGTTTTATCTAAGGTTTCATTTTGTGATGATATGGATTGTTTATCACAAGAACAAAATATTTATAAATTATAAATACAAGTTACACAAACTCAATGTTAAATTAATTGTCAATAAAATAATTTTGCAAAAGTTTCCTAATTCGAATTAAAGGTTGCAGGTTCGATACATGATTAAACATTATCTTTTTGTCAGACACACCGATATTGAGGATCTTGTCAAACACACTTATATTGAGGATCTTGTCAGATACATGAATATTGAGGATCTCGTCAAACAAACTTATATTGAGAATCTTGTCAGACATACTGATATTGAGGATTTTGTCTAACAAACTGATATTGAGGATATTGTCAGCAACGTTAATGTTAAATTAATTGTCAATAAAATAATTTTGCAAAAGTTTCCTAATTCGATTTAAAAGTTGCAGGTTCGATACAATATAAAACATAATCTTTTGGCAGACACACTGATATTGAGAATATTGTCAGACAAACTGTTATTGAGGATCTTGTCAGAAACACTTATGTTGAGGATCTTATCAGACATACTGATATTGAGAATATTGTCAGACAAACTGATATTGAGGATCTTGTCAGAAACACTTATGTTGAGGATCTTATCAGACATACTGATATTGAGGATCTTGTCAGACATACTGATATTGAGGATATTGTCATACATACTGATATTGAGGACTTTGTTAGACATTCTGATATTGAAGATCTTGTCAAACATACTGATATTGAGGACTTTGTCAGACATACCAATATTGAGGATCTTTTCAGGCATACTAATATTTAGGATATTGTCATACATACTGATATTGAGGACTTTGTTAGACATTCTGATATTGAAGATCTTGTCAAACATACTGATATTAAGGACTTTGTCAGACATACCAATATTGAGGATCTTTCCAGGCATACTAATATTTAGGATCTTGGCAGACATACTGATATTGAGAACTTTGTCAAACATACTGATATTGAGGATCTTGTCAGACATACTGATATTGAGGACCTTGTAAAACATGTTGATATTGAGGATCTTGTCATACATACTGATATTGAGGATCTTGTCATACATACTAATATTTAAAATCTTGTCATACATACTGATATTGAGGACCTTGACAGACACACTGATATTGAGAGTCTTGTCAGACAAACTGATGTCGATGATCTTTTAGAGACATTGATATTGAGAAGATTGTCAGACATACTGATATTTTAGGATCTTGTCAAACATACTGATTTTGAGGATTTTGTCAAACATATGATCTTGTCAGAGACAATGATATTGAAAATCTTGTAAAACACACTTATAATGAGGATCTTGTCAGACATACTGATATTGAGAGTCTTGTCAGACACACTGATGTCGAGGATCTATTCATAGACATTGATATTGAGAAGATAGTCAGACATACTGATTTTGAGGATCTTGTCAGACAAACCGATATTGCGGATCTTGTCAGACATACTGATATTGAGGACCTTGTCAAATATACTGATTTTGAGGATTTTGTCAGTCACAATTATGTTCTTATCAGACATATTGATATTGAGAATCTTGTCATACATACTGATATTGAGGATCTTGTCAAACTCAATGATATTGAGGATATTATCATAAATACTGATATTGAAAATCTTGTCAAACACAATGATATTGATGATCTTATCAGACACACTGATATTGACGATCTTGTCTAACACACTGATATTGATTATTTTGTCAGACACACTTATATTGAGGTTCTTGTCAAAACATTATATTGAGGATCTTGTCAGAAACACTGATATTGACGATCTTGTCAAACACATTGATATTAAGGATCTTGTCAAACACACTTATGTTGAGGATCTTGTCAAACACATTGATATTGAGGATCTTGTCAGACATGCTGATATTGAGGATTTTGTCAGACACACTTATATTGAGGATCTTGTCAAAACATTATATTGAGGATCTTGTCAGAAACACTGATATTGACGATCTTGTCAAACACATTGATATTGAGGATCTTGTCAGACATGCTGATATTGAGGATTTTGTCAAACACACTGATATTGTGGATCTTGTCAAACACACTGATATTGACACACGAATATGAAGGTTCTTGTATTGCTCCTTTATGTAATACTACGAAAGTTCGTATGCATCGTATTTACAGATAAGCAGACCTTTATCTTAAGATATTGACTTACGATAGAAATTTTTGATAAATGAAAAGCAAAATTATTGTTAAATGATACGTTCAATATATATGTTCTGTTTTGAGATTTAACTTAAAGTTATTATAATATTTGTTATGAAAATTATTATTATTCTATTTCTCAAGAACATTTTTAAATTCGGTAACTGCTGCTTTTTGAAACCAATGGTAAACACCCTTATCTATTTGAAGGTTTTTATATTTAATTGATTACAACTGTAGGACACGAACAATTTTAATGCAGCTTTATTGGGGAAAAAAACCCAAACAACAAAACAACCACTCGCCGGTTTCGGTGTGGAATTATCCGGATGGTTGTCAAACAAACTTGTTGTTTAGTTAAAGAAAGTTTAGCCGATCATTCAATTGGCCAATATTTGAGCTTTATTGACATAATGTCTTTGGAGTGTTATATTTTTATAAACTAAACGAACGCTGTTATCTTACACTATACCAATAGGAGATTTCGAACCAAAGTATTAAGCAGTACGAACTTATTTATTTATTTAATTTACTTTCAATTTTTATTAAACATCTAACAAAGTTAAATAAACAAAACAAAACAAAACTTAATTTATACAAAATGTACAAAAAAACTGTCCGTCATAAGACATTTCTTTAAAAGAAACATTTTCTGTGTTGCAAACTTAAGCTCCTGATAAACTTTTAACGATCCATGGGCACAAAATAATGTGCTTGTACAATAAGGGGGCCTTTCAACGGTTGCTGGGTTCAGTGGAAATCCTCGCAGTAATTCTCATGGGAGAGTGTTTGTTTTGCAACTAATTCAAATATAAATATTACAGTTCCTTTTATATTTACCAATGTTGAACTATAGATGTCTGAATATTTTATAAGATAATTACTGAATATAATCCAATATGTACAATTTTAATCGAATTTGACACGTGGAACTTATTTTATTTCTTCACACCCTTGGGTTTCTAATATTTTTGTAAATATTTATTCAAACGTTTTTGCGTCAAAAAGCACGTGATCAGCTAAGCTAAACAATTAATGTTGATAAATTCATGTCACATTCTATTATTAATTCTCCAGCAGCTTGACTTGAATAAAGAATGCGTAATTAAAAATCATTTTATTGGTTATTCATAAAAAGACTTTGGTACATTTATTATTTCTCATTTCACAGTGTTGCCAAGCTTTGTACCATTATTTTTTTTACCAGAACTTTCACATGACATTTGACATATATAAAGATCGGACATTAATCATCAACATCATTACACCATCACCAACAACATATGTCATTAGATTAAAAGAAAAAAAAATAATTCATGATGCTTTGATTTATTTCAATACTTTTGCTAAACCATAAATTAACACGAGTTACTAATATACTATTTTAAAGATAAATCAGAGTTTTGATCTAAACGGGCAACATTTATCAATACTGCCCCTGAAATTAGCCAGACCTGTATCAGTTCGCTGTCGGCACGTCGGTGGTTCTATGAAGGCTCCCGTTCGTGCCTGAAATAATGCACAGGGGGGAACCTGTTCCTGGCAGTTAAACTGGAAAAGTAACCATATGATTATAAGTGTGTAATTAATAATAATAATAATAATAATAATAATAATAATAATAATAATAATAATAATAATAATAAATGAATAAAACTTCCAACATCTCAAACACACGAACCACACACAAAAAACACAAAAAAGAAAAATAACGAACTTCTATAAAGATATAGCAATGAAGCAATGAATTGATTTTTATCACATTATTATGATGACCATATTTTTGTATTGGTTGTAATGAAACACTTTTTTCAATTGGAATTAAAATAATAAAGATATTGTTATACAACGAGGACATCTAAACTTTCCCTTTTTATTCAAAAGAGTTTAAAAGAATAATTAATGCTGTTATTTCTACTTGAAAAAGTTTATGTAAATATCGTGTTGACCGTGTTTAACGTGTTGACCAACAACGCGTCTAAATTTTTTGTGCAAACATTTTAAAAACTTGGTAATTACAATAAGTACATAAGGTGTCTAACTGAAGGATAATTGTCATTTTCACACAACAGAAACATGGAATTGTTACTTTACAAGTTTATGCTTATTTTAGCTTATTCGTGTACTGGTTTAGTACGATGCGAAATGATTGATAAGAATTTCATAACCGAACAAGTTTGCTTTGATTCCTATGGTACCGTTTTGGAAACTAGCGATCAAGTACGCGGGAAAATTGACTGTGGATCGCGATGCATTAAAAACAACTGTACATCGTTTCTGTACAATCAAGATCTGAAACTGTGTACACTTAACTCAGAAATGTTCTTTAACAGAACAACACTTGGATGCAATAATTTGGTGTACTACGCCGAAGTCACGGTAAAATGTTTTATGAATTCCTTTTTGTGTTTAGTGCATTTCTTTTATGAAAAAAATATTTGCATGAAGATTATAAGATATATAGCACGTTTTAAATTATATAACTGTAAAAACAACATATCAGTAAAAAAATATACTAGTAATATTTCACTGAAAGTGCTTAAGATGCGATCACACAAACCTAATCCAAATATTTTCAGTAGAAAATAAAATAATATTCAACGTTGAACTACAAGAAACCTAACTGAAACATTGCCCTTATAGGCTTTTAAAAAGATGGTAAATTGAAAAAGAGACAAAACGAAACAGACAAAAACACCATTAAAAAAAATAAATTGTAAAAACATTTCTTAAAAACCTAAGAACTGTTTGTATTATATATTTCAGACTCAGCAGCCTGGTAATCAGCCCGGACCAGTTGGTACGTAAAGCATATATTCTATTTTACATTTAAATCGACAAATCATTTTAAATATTTAAGTGTTTATGATAATTTTAAAAGAGGTTTTCACATATATTTCATGCAAACGATGTCGTTTTGTACCAAAAAAAATGTTTTACTTTCTTTCACGAAGATTGATTCAAACGATTGAATATGCTGTACTACCATCAACAACAAACAGCGAGAGAATGAATGAATGAATGAATGAATGAAAGATAAAAAAATAAATGATTAAATGAACAAACAAATAAATAGATAAATAATAAAATAAATAATTATAAATAAATAAAATAAATAAATAAAATTAAGAAAAAAAACTCCAAAAAAACCCCCCAAAAACAACAAAACACACACGCACACACACACACACTAAAAACACAATTAACAACTATAAACAAAAATATATAAATAAATAGAATTAAAAGAAAGAAAGAAAGAAAGAAAGAAAGATAGAAAGAAAGAAAGAAAGATAGAAAGAAATGAAGAGAGAAAGAAAGAAAGAAAGAGAAAGAAAGAACGATCAAACATATGTAAAAATGCAATAAATAAATTTTGAAAGCACTATAAATGGGTCTTTCGGTCTTAACCTGGTTGTATTTGCTAGTGCATTTTAAGACATTTTTTATCATTAAGAAATCATGCTTTTTCATTACAATTGAACTAATGTTGCTGCATTACAGTTGAAATCATGTTGCTGCGTTACAGTTGAAATCATGTTGTTGCATTACAGTTGAAATCATGTTGTTGCATTACAGTTGAAATCATGTTGTTGCATTACAGTTGAAATCATGTTGCTGCATTACAGTTGAAATCATGTTGTTGCATTACAATTGAACCAATGTTACTGCATTACAGTTGAAATCATGTTGTTGCGTTACAGTTGAAATCATGTTGTTGCATTTCAGTTGAAATCTTGTTGTTGCATTACAGTTGAAATCATGTTGTTGCATTACAGTTGAACTAATGTTGCTGCATTACAGTTGAAATCATGTTGTTGCATTACAATTGAACCAATGTTACTGCATTACAGTTGAAATCATGTTGCTGCGTTACAGTTGAAATCATGTTGTTGCATTCAGTTGAAATCATGTTGTTGCATTACAGTTGAAATCATGTTGTTGCATTACAGTTGAACTAATGTTGCTGCATTACAGTTGAAATCATGTTGTTGCATTACAATTGAACCAATGTTACTGCATTACAGTTGAAATCATGTTGCTGCGTTACAGTTGAAATCATGTTGTTGCATTACAGTTGAACTAATGTTGCTGCATTACAGTTGAAATCATGTTGTTGCATTACAGTTGAAATCATGCTGTTGCATTACAGTTGAAATCATGTTGTTGCATTACAGTTGAACTAATGTTGCTGCATTACAGTTGAAATCATGTTGTTGCATTACAGTTGAAATCATGTTGCTGCACTACAGTTGAACTAATGTTGCTGCACTACAGTTGAACTAATGTTGCTGCATTACAGTTGAACTAATGTTGCTGCGTTACAGTTGAAATCATGTTGTTGCATTTCAGTTGAAATCTTGTTGTTGCATTACAGTTGAAATCATGTTGTTGCATTACAGTTGAACTAATGTTGCTGCATTACAATTGAACCATCATGTTGTTGCATTACAGTTGAACATCATGTTGCTGCATTACAGTTGAAATCATGTTGTTGCATTACAGTTGAAATAATGTTGTTGCATTACAGTTGAAATCATGTTGTTGCATTACATTTGAAATCAATGTTGTTGCATTACAGTTGAAATCATGTTGCTGCATTACAGTTGAAATAATGTTGTTGCATTACAGTTGAAATCATGTTGTTGCATTACAGTTGAAATAATGTTGCTGCATTACAGTTGAAATCATGTTGTTGCATTACAGTTGAACTAATGTTGTTGCATTACAGTTGAAATAATGTTGTTGCATTACAGTTGAACTAATGTTGTTGCATTACAGTTGAAATCATGTTGTTGCATTACAGTTGAAATCAATGTTGTTGCATTACAGTTGAACTAATGTTGTTGCATTACAGTTGAAATCATGTTGTTGCATTACAATTGAACAATGTTACTGCATTACAGTTGAAATCATGTTGTTGCATTACAGTTGAAATCATGTTGTTGCATTACAGTTGAAATAATGTTGCTGCATTACAGTTGAACTCATGTTGCTGCATTACAGTTGAAATCATGTTGTTGCATTACAGTTGAATCATGTTGTTGCATTACAGTTGAAATCATGTTGTTGCATTACAGTTGAACTAATGTTGCTGCTTACAGTTGAAATCATGTTGTTGCATTACAGTTGAACTAATGTTGCTGCATTACAGTTGAAATCATGTTGCTACATTACAGTTTAACTAATGTTGCTGCATTACAGTTGAAATCATGTTGCTGCGTTACAGTTGAAATCATGTTGCTGCATTACAGTTGAAATCATGTTGTTGCATTACAGTTGAAATCATGTTGTTGCATTACAGTTGAACTAATGTTGCTGCATTACAGTTGAAATCATGTTGCTACATTACAGTTGAACTAATGTTGCTGCATTACAGTTGAAATCATGTTGCTGCGTTACAGTTGAAATCATGTTGTTGCATTACAGTTGAAATCATGTTGCTGCATTACAGTTGAAATCAAGTTGTTGCATTACAGTCACGTCGGCTTCATTTCTACTCCTGTTTGGCATTATCAGTATTTCATTTGAAAAAAAGTTTTTATCTTTTGTCTGTAACTAATATTAAGATAGCAGTTTCAATTTTGTCTAGCTTAATGCCAGTATTGAACAATTTTGCTTTCAATGACTTACATTTGTAATATAAATCTTTTACAGTATTATGTGGTGAAATTCCATTACTTCCTTCCATTATGGTGAACAACGCAAGCGGAAATTACAGTGTAGGTTACAAGATGCCATATAATTGTAGCGCATGCGCAAGTTATCCGCCAAATGGCTCTCCAGAATACATAGAATGTGGCATTGACGGCGTGTGGATTGTACCTCCAGTATTATGTGTCACTGGTAAGTTACAAATATATTACGTTCTTTAATCAAGTTTTCATTTTTATAGACAATGTTAGTTACAGAGACACTGTGCTGTGACTTTCAAGTATGCAGAAAAATTGCTTTTTCTCAGGATAAATTTTCTGCTGTTTATTTTCCAAGACCATCTTTACGATGTTTGTTGAACATTATATTCAAATTATGAATTAATACTTAACTTAAATACAATTTGAAACATAAAAAACCGCCTCCGTGGTCGATGAGTTAGAGTCGATGACTGCTAATCCAGTTACCTCTCTGGCGTGGGTTGGATCCCCGGGAGATGATTTGGTAGTTTAGTGCGGAGGAAGGTTGTCTAGTACTGGTGTAACTCTCCAGGAACGATGGTTAGGAAACTATCCGCCTATGTGACTGAAATACTGTTTTGAAAAGGCGTAAAATCAAACAAACAAACAAACTAACAAAAGAAACATTAAAATGTGCTCACCTGAACACATATTTCTGAGATTCCTTCTTATTATTTTATTTTCCAGGGGCTGATACTGGATTTTTAAAGGGTAAGTGTTGTTGAAAATTATAATCGAGCAATTCTGTATAAAATACTTTCGAAATTAATTCAAGACCCTTAAAAACCATTGAGGTTTTAAGACATTCCGGACTGGAGTTTGTTTTTGTTTTTTTGAAACTAATATCTATTTGATGGAGGGCTAGACCAATAACTTTTCTCTCGAATCGGACAAAAAACGGCTTTCAATCTATTTCTTTATTGCATATCTTCCAGTTTTAAATGCCCCAGCTGATATTTATATGAAATTTAAATTTTATGTTTTTAGATATTTTGATTTCAACGGAGTTCCTTAAAACTAAAATTTCTATTAAAATCATACACGTTACTTTAATGTTGATAATATATTTTTATTCAAGCAAATTGAATCTTTTCCGGTTGTTATTTTTTTGTGACGAATGAAAGATTTCACATTCACTGTATTGAGCCTTAAATACATTTTAGATGACAGACTATTCGTACAATTTAATAAATGCCTGACGACTTATATATACTTCTTTCAGATGGGACCCCTGTACCTGCCAATGCAATAGGTAAACTGTTGTTATTTTATAAAGATTTACAAAGATATATCACTGTTTTAATATGTACTCATGTGTTCCTCAAGTAACTTGATTTAAATAAGCTATGTTCTGTTTGTATTAAAATGAGCTTTGGACAAATTTAATGACCATATCGAATTTCTTTAATTTAAATTTTACACTCACATAGATTAATTTCATTTAATGTTAATACATGTATTTATAATTTTTTAACTTTATTTATTTAATAGGTTGTTTCCATGAGTTTAACAACACTTGTCCAGAGGCTTCGGTAATGGATGGGTACTTATATGATGGTACTTATGGTTCGTGTTTTTGTGACAGTTCGTGTTGCGGCGCCGGCGACTGTTGCTATGATTCCACATGTGCATCAGTGCCAAAACCTAAACCCTAAACAGATTTTGTCAACCAAATACCGAATTCAATAGTTAAACGAAATAATTGAAGATTCATTTCGTGAAAGTGCACATATATTTGTCTAGAAAACTTATTTTAATTGGCATTAAATAAAAAATTGTGACATTAGTAGAAAAAATAATGACCTCATTTAATTATACGATGTTTGTGAAAATTCAAATAAAAATATTGTAACTTTACAGAATTGTTTGTATTTAACATGTTATGAAGAAAGTTATACGGGGAAGTCAAAGGCCGGAACCGCAAAGCAGGCCAGGACTTTGGCTTGCCCGGCTATAGACTACACGTGTATATTTTAAAGGTAATCAAATAAAAAACAATTAAGAAATATATTATAAGTTATAAAGATTTTTGACAGGTTATATGACTCTACATAAACGACTGTTTGCAAATATAACACAAACAACCCTTTATGTACTGTCATATAACCTGTCAGAAATATACATATGAATTTATGATACATCCTTTTGAGAAAAAAAAGTAAATTAGTTAGAAAATTGACAGCAGCCATTAAAAACGTCACGATTATCCAATAAAAACGACGTTACAAACGCGAAGTATTATTGGCGTCCGCGCTGAAGCGCGGCGCCCCTTATGGAATGAAATCAGATCTTGTGAAACGGCAACAGCAATTTCTCGAGCCTTTTGGTCGGTCATAATAAAAGCCGATCATTCCGATCGGTATGAGGGTGATTGATTATTAATTAAAAATGAAATGTCGCGATATGTACAATGAATTGCAAACTGGAGAATTTCGCAATGCAAACATTTTCAAATGAAATAACCTTTTCCGTCAATAAATCGCGCTCTTCGGGGTATCTTTATTCAACATTTTATAGTACACAGTGGGTTATTATGGTATGTTATCATTGTACATGTATCCGAAAGCTGTAAATAGAATGATGAGTTGATGACCTAAATATTACGAAAATCTATTTATAGAGGGATGTACTCCTATGGCCTCGGCCCGGTGAATTTTCGTACTATTTGTTCTATAGTAAATCAGTCAAATTTGAGTCTTAATTCTGGATTCCACTGCTCTTGATGAATTTTAAACTGTCTTCAACTTTAAACATTAACACTATCTAAGTCCAATGAGGCCCAAAATATAGTAGGTTAGCCATCTACTTTTTTCAGAAATCTTCATTCTGTTGTAACACTGTTTAAATTCACCACTTTAAAAACTCCTGACAGCTGGTAGGTAGTACATCTTTAATCCTTCCACCAACAAATGAGTTCCTGGAGAATACACAAAAACAACTTTTAAAGTCATCATATAACACCAAAACATACACACATGCAATAAATACACTTTAATTATGACCAATCTAACTAGAGATGACTTAAATTGGGCCATTTCAAAATTTTAAAGAACTACTTTCTAGACTAGAATGGGTTTGGTCTAATTCCGTACCGGGTTGAGACCCTATCGGTAATTACCGGTCTCTCCTGGTCTATTTTGACCGGGATTTACTAGTGACCGGCGAATAGTACCACACGTTTATTGTCCGGTCTCTCCCGGTTTTGGAGTAAATATTTGATATCGTTACAGAACAGAACAAATATTTTACAGACAAATAAGCTTTTTTCAAAATGAATGTTTGGCACTTAGTTTGGTGACAATAATTAATAAACACAGATCAACTCTCAAATTTATTGATAATTATACATAAACATACTATTTGAAAAAAAAACCCAACAACAACAATAGCATGTTTTATTTTATCTATTATATGAGATAAAAACAATAAATATGTACAATAATTGAGAAAAAAGGTACATTTTTATGTTATTATTATGACACTTTCAACCTTGAAACATTTTATTTAATTTGATATTCGTGTTTAGTAAAGATTGACCTTTTCGTAAACATAGCTTAACACCGTTTTCCGGTAGGTTACCGTTTTAGCTCTGGGGTATTACACCAAATGAAAAACATAACACAGTTACGTGATATTTCTATTTTTCTATCATTATTTAACCGTTTAAGGTGAAGAAAATTGATGTTTTTGAAAATTATCAATATTCCTTTAATATCTATTGCAAATTTTATTCAAAAAATAAATTGTTTATAATGAAAATCAATAAAATTCAAACAGACGTGGTGGCATCTTCCATAATAAATAAGGTTATTTTCTGCGTAAACTTGTGTATTTATTTTATTTTTTGTCTGGAATTATTCAAACAATGATATTTACATTTTTTTGCAATTATTTTTAGATAAAGAAATAACTGTTTTATTTCAATTTAATTTTAAAAGGTTATTACACTCCATTAGGCGAATTCCCCAGAACTATGTACAGAAAGTACCGGAAAACGGCGTTGAGCTAGGTTTTCGAATTTGTGAATGCCGAGGAATTATTGAAAGTTACAAATTAGATTTTATGAATTATTCAATTGATTGATAATTTAAAAAATGATAAAGAAAAATACAAATGTACATGTATACGGTTTAAGAATAAACACTATTATATATTGAAAGATTAACCATAACTTACTGACTTTTTCCAGTTAAGTTTTGACTTATAATCGTCGGTCAATATGACAATTGAATTCTTAAAATAGTAGTAAACGTAAAAACTCAGTATTAAAATAGCACATAAAATACAAAAAAGAATAGAAAACAGTATTCATATAAAATCTGTTGTTTTTTTATCAAAATAGATATTACAATTATTGTATAATAAACAATTATGCTCAACATGATCAACATGGTAATATAACCAGTGTCATATTGTTACTAAGTGTGAACAGATACCTTAAGAGGGGGTCTTCGCTAATAGCGATAATATAATAAGGGACAATTACACAAATGTGGTGTTGATCATGCGTTACACATATGGATTATAAATGATTGTATACATGTATATCCGTTGCTATTAAAAACCACGGTCATAAAGAAATAACAAGTAATATTCTAATCTCTAGCATGCCATCAAAGTTAAAAATGAACAACGTCTTTCGTCCGTTCATTCATAAGTGATATACAATTCTGGTAAAACAATTAACCATCGAAAAGTTTATAAGAATATCTTGTCATCATATATCTACTAGTTCATCTTCACCTGCTGCATTTCTTGCTTCGACGCCCTTTGAATCTTTGCATCAATGCTTTTCTTGTTATCATTTTTATAATTAAATGTTTTCATAATGGCTTTGTTATTTGGCTGAACAATGCCATATCAGCCTTTGGCCTGTTTTTTTTCTACTGTCTAACAGAAATCATTTTTGGAAGTTCTGAGGGTCATGTTTTGTCTTTGAATGAGTTATTGTATTCTTTTCTTTTCTTGAGTTTATAAATATTCAATGTTAAGCTTTGTTGATTGCGATTGATTACGTCATTTAAACTTTAAATTTTGTGTGCAAGTGACTAGTTCATTCAACGTCAGCAGCCATGTTGAAAGTCACTGAGAGTTGATGACGTCATTCTGTACGTGCGCTCATTCACTCGCCCATTATGGAAAAATAATGCCGAGTAGCAAGGCGGCCAAAATTGCATTATGACCTAGATCTTGCCATAATGGCCATGAAATACCATAGATTTTGTTACTATATATAGTAACATAGGTATTAAGACAGTTTAAAGCCCAGTAACAAGGCCATTTTAAAGCCCAGTAACAAGGCCATAATGAAAACACTTAATAATTGACAATTTTATTGATTAACTACACATAATCTAAAAAAGTTATGATGCATTCGTTTCAATCAGAATTCATCGGCTTTTATCGTTATTTTTTAATTCGAAAAGTTGCGATATGTCAATTTCCCATACTTTTGTAGTTATCCTGGCGAAAGTTTTCAAAACCATCACTATCTAGCAGGTACTCGCGTTACCATGAAGCTCGCTTTGCGACCAGGCTCTTCGGGCCAGCTCTTCGAGATCGCTATCAATGACGCGAATTGCCAAATTCTTTTATACATGTGCAGCAAAATGTCATTTTAGCACCAATATATTCAAACATGTTATCCGTTTTAATGAAGAGAAAATTTTTTAGTAAAATTAAGAGAGTTTTAAATCTTAGATATTAGAAATGACCTAAAAATAACAACAAGGGGGTGGGGACGGAGGGGTTGATAAAAGCAATCTATCTGTGAAAAGCATCGATAGCCAGATTTCAACCAGATCGGTACCATACAAGGCGCCCAGCAACTCTGTGTCCGGTTAAGTTCAAACTGTGTGTCATTCTTAAAGATTTTTTTTTCAATTTGAAGAATTTTAATTAAATCATAAAAATGATGACTGTTTAAAGAGACAACAATGCGAGGGATGTCGAAATGTGTTGCTTATTTCTATCTGGAGACTTCAAATTTCAAGTTAGCTCAAAAGTGTTTATTTCATGCCGTCGAAGAACTCCCAGTGGCTAGAAATGCAAAGTTTCAGCCTATGTATTCACTTCTTGAATGCGTCACGTTACGCTGATGTGGGCACAGTAATTAGGTACTGATGAATGGCAGATCCATGTCTGAACTTGTATTTCGCCCAGGAAGGAAGGATTTCAATTTCGGAAACAAAAAGAAATCACACTTGGCAAGGTCTGGAGAATACGGAAAGGATGAGGGGGCGTGGGAGTATGTAAGGCAAAACAGTTACTTTTTCTTTTTATAAAAACGCCGAAACTATTGCGGAGGTATGAGCGGGGGCATTGTCATCTAGAAGACGAATATGCTTAAAACCAGTGACAGGGCGTCGTTCCTTATAATAATACTACGTCTTTGTAGTACTTCCAAGTGATACGTTTGCCATTTTTCACTGGCACTTTTATTGTGACTCCTTCACCAGAGCAGAAAATTGCATACAAACCCTTCTTTGCACTCAAAGACCGTTTGGCAATTATTGGACGTTTGTTATTTTCAGTGGCCCAGATTTTGTTGCTAACTTTTCTGACGGGCTAAAAATAATGGACCCAAGTTTCATCACCTGTGACAACATTGGCAAACTATTTTTTGTCATATTTTGGAAACATTTGAAGCAGCTTTTTGGCCACCATAACCCGTTTCCTCTTTTGCTCTTAGGTCAACAGATGTGGCACCCTCTAGCACAAATCTTTCTGACTTTTTTTTCAAATGCTTTTAAAAATTAAGTGAACCGTTGATAGTGAATTGCCTACTTTTCGTGCAATAACACAAACT